CCTTTCCTGTGGAAAAGTGACATTATTAGAACATTACAGCAGAATAGATAGAAATGCATATTTTTCATACAGATATTTTTATACAGTATAATGCCTTCTATACCATTCACTGAAAAAATTTTCCCTGTGTTTGGCAATAGTTTGTTCCAATCAAAAGTAAAATCAAAATCCACTGATATCTTTTCAAAAAAGAAATGCTTATGATTAAACAAAGAACTATATAAATAACTACTTTTAACCAGAAAAAAATTGTTTTAAAATAATAACCTTCTTCAGCTGAATTTTTTGTAAGATTTGGATCAGCCACGAAAGGTGTCAACACAGTGCCATACTTTCCGAGCATCTCCACAATGCGGCCATAGATCTCCACATCTCCTCGGCCAGCTCGGATGCTGCCACAGAAGTAGATCTTGAGACCTGTTGCCATGGCTTTGATTTCTTCGCTGTGGAAAAAAAAGTGCAAGTAAAGGTATTGTGAGTGAAATATAATCTATTCTTAAATACATTGGGTTCCTTATTTTCTTATCCAGTGAAAATTGCTGATTACCTCATTTACAAAATTACAATCACTTATAGACCACAAATGACTAATGTTTAAAAAATCACAGCTAAAGCAACAGCCATTGCATTATGCTTGAGGTATCTGATGTAGAGAACATGCAGATTACTACTGTATACAGGGGATAAAAACATCGACAGCATGTGTATTTCCTTGCCTTATGTATAGAAAATGTTGATAACTTACGACACAAATTCTAATCCATACAATGGCTATCTAAATCTAAAATGTAAAATACCTTGTAAATAGTATTTAGATATACTTGGAATTCACCCATTATTTCCAAACTGATATATCAGATTAATATTTCAAGTACCAAATACTAAGTAAAGCCTATCCTGGACTGCCACAGATGACATACACTTTCACACAGTAATAAAGACAGGCTCACAGTGTTCTTTCTTTATAAGGTATACCTAACACCTTGGCTTATCTGTTAATCTGGACCGAAGGCTAATAAGGGGTCACTGGGTTCAGTGTCATGAACCCAGTGACACTGAAATGCATATTTTTCATACACATGGTGATCTGAACTTCCTTTCTACCTCCAATTCTGTATATTGATTAGTAAGCTTCAAGTTCAGTGAGTTATTTCTGATAACCTTTGAAGGAAACAGTACTTGAAAATTATTTTTTTCCCCTTGCGCATTTCACAGATGAATACATATTCTCATAAAAGCTAACTAAACCTATTGAATAAGTTAAACAACAAAATACCTGAGAGCAGTTAATGGAAAAGATTTGCTGGAAAATACTACTCAGAGTACCTCTTGCGCCTCGTCTACTGGGTACTCCTCTGAGTGTAACCTTGAACGTTTTCCTCAAAGATAAATTACCATTAATTCATTTTATCATCTTTTTCTTCAAGCAGTCTACTACCCTCTTTATTATATATGATCAGTCACCTTCACAAAATGAATAACAACCTTTCAAAGATTCAATACAGCGAAGTAAATCTCACCAGATGAGTAAAAGAGGGACAGGTTATCACAGTGGACCGTCGTGCTGGTAACTGGTAACTGGCCGGTAGGAAGGCAGTCCCCTTGTCCCACCCCAGCCATAGCAACACACGGCATACTACTTCACTGGTCACTCCAAAAAGAAAGGGAGTGGAGAGCAACGGGAAATGTGAATGTAAGCTCTCTTCCCGCCATTATAGCTTGCTTCCTTGTTGCATATGTTAACACGCTTTTATTTCTTTGCCAATCGCGTTTGGGAATCAGGGTGCAGATGGCGAAGGAGGAGGAAAGGGAGGGGAAAGGAGACAGTTTAGAGGATAAATTTTGTTCAAGGCATCAGATTGAGTTAGGCTTATCCCATACCACGTGGTTTACAACTGGCGATGTGGCCAATCTAGTTGTTCTGCTGCATGTGCGCGCGCGCAAACACACACATACACACACATATATATGTATGTATATATATAGTATATAAATGTATATATAGCATATATGTATATATATATATATATATATATATATATATATATATATGTGTATATATATGTATATATATACATATATATATATATATGCAAGTATATATATATATATATTTATTTATTCATTTATTTATTTATTTATTTATACATAATAAGCACAATACACACACTTCCCTTCGTTGTTCTTCCTGCAATTTGTTTGACATGAATTCCACACACACACACACACACACACACACACACACACACACACACACACACACACACACACACACACACACACACACACACACACACACACAGCGCTGGCTTTACAATCGCAAGGTCCTGGGTTCGCGCCCGGCCGCCGCCCCTCTCAGTCAACTCAGCTGTGAATGAGTACTGATATGCAGACGTCAGCATGTTGGGGTCAAGGTGGGGGAGGAAAAGGAATTGGCCACCCGACCGCATCATCCCGAGGCTTAGTAAGTATCATGTTTCTCTGCAAACATGTCCCCTAC